CATTGAGTTGATGCCATGTGATTGGTTGATTAGCTATCTGTTAACAAGCAATTGAACAGGTGTACCTGATTAAATGGCCAGTGAGTGTATATTCACAACAATGGAAATATTATTTGTCCAAAAAATTGCCACTCAATAGATTAGCCATCACTACACTGTCACAACTTAGATAGGATAAAACATGACAGAAGACAAAAAGATGTTTTCAGTTCAGAGAACTGGCCTTGCAACTTCTCCTAGTTAAGGAAACAGACAAAATGTGTTTCAGAACACAAAACAGGACAGACAGGTTGAACTATTATTTACTGTAGAGTGATGTAATTATTCTAATAAAAATGTTCAACACAGTCAGTACATTCCAGTGACACAGTAAAGTTGAAACTTGTGTACGCTGAGGGAATATGAATGCTGCTGTATGCCCATTTACTCCCTCAAAGAGAAACACCCCCTCTGCCCAACTCCAATATAAATGGCAGATGACGTATACAGAAATACATGGGAAAAAAAGTGACGTGAAACAAAATTTACAAATGGAACTCGGGTTCTATTCCATTCTTCTTGGCCACCAGAGGCAGTGCCTCAGCACTGGAGAGAAGCAGAAGCTGTTTATAAGATAGCTGGGGCCACAGAATGGGGGTGCAGCAACATTTATGAAGTTGTACAGTAAGATGAAGACTCAGGTAACAGCAGCACAAATTTGTAATAAAAGACTATAAAGATTCTCAGTCTTTGAGATACCTATAAGCACTAAATCAATGGACAAGTTTTTGACTTGTTTTTTCGCTCATTCAAGTGGCTTTATCAGAACTAACACCAAAAATTGAAAACCAGTCCAATTACCTCGGACTTTATATTGAAAGTAATCATACAAGGAATTTATTTTTAAGGTAATCAAAATAGACTTATGCTTCATACTAGCACCTCACGATTCAATTATGATTCAGAGGGCTGCAATGCAATTATAAAACGATTATCTATATATCTTTTTCTATACAGACATTTCTGAATCATTACCAAGCATTTTATTAAAATCCAAAACAAACGTCTTCTCATTATCTTAACAGTAGTTAGCATCTCAAAGTTGCTTTACTAACCTGTTAAAATTTGATAGCGGCGTTCATTCATTCAGCAGAGTCAACATTACGTTATCAGTTCACATTTAGAAAATCGATTTTGACATTTGTGAATCGATTCAGAATCGTCCACGTTCAACTCATGATGCATCTAAGAATCGACTGTCTGCAGTATACATATGTTGGGACCTCACGTTACTTTTGTCATTCCTGACACTGTGTGTGAAGCCAATAACGGCACTTTATCAAGACCAAACATAAATTTGCTGCTAGTTCCTTTGTGATAAACTGGTAATTATTGTGTTTTACCATTGTAATAAGAAGTTTTTTTCAGATTTTCGCTTGTGTTAGTTCCTGCCAATGCATGCAGATCCAATAACTACACTTTATCAAGACCAAAGTTCAGTACCACGGGCCGCTGAATGAGCTTTTGCGAATACTGTGGGTTAAGTGGTGGTTACACTGTATCTAGTCGTGGCAACCAGGATCTTTTATAGCATATTCTGCGTCTAAGGGCTGGGCGATATGGACCAAAAAGTCATATCCCGGTAATGTTAGGCAGAATTACGGTATAAAATATATATCAATATTTTCTGCTTAGTAGGCTGGGGGGGGGGTGTCTGATTTAGCTGTCATGTTTTTACTATTTGTAGTAACTTGGCTTGTATCTTATTTCACCATTTTTATTATACTTGATTTTAAGTGTCACTCACTTGAATCTGCCTCCTTCAGTTCTCTTCACACTCACAGACCTATCATTGTCTGCTGCAAACACGTCAGTGTGCCCCGCTTCTTTCCGTCTCTCCCTGTATGTCTGATCCGGTGGCATTTTCCATCAGAAGTAGGCTACATTGTATAAAGTCGCCGACTTTCTTCCACCCGCAGTGGCGCCGCATGTTTAGGAGGCATGTTGACGACGTAGCCTATCAAAACAAAACCAACGTAGTAGCTAACGAATGACATCTGACTGGTGTGTTCACTGTCACTTTACCTGGTCCGTTCTTGTCAAATATCCACCGTGTTGCTACTTGTAACGTAATCACTCTGTGTTTAAATACTAAATGCTACAATGTGTCGCCTAACCTGAGCGGCCCGCAGACATAAAGTGAATGTTTGGGAAACACTGACTGAACCGTTGTTTTTTTTCTTTTTACAAGCTTCAGCACTCTCTCTCCCTCCATGTTGTTGAGAGTTTGTTAGTAGACGGCTGCATGCAGATGCGGAGGGAGGGGCGGGGCTGCACAGTGAGGGAGAGAGACGGGCAAACGCTGGCAGGACTTTACGGAAACATATTAATTAACTCAACATCAAACTATATCAAACAAACTGTATTGTCTAATTTTATATCTTGTTTGAAATTATATCGGTATACCTCATTATACCGATATACCGCACAGCTCTTCTGTGTGTCTTATTTGGTAGTGCCCCGTATTTATTAATCTTAATTAATAATATTTGTAATATTAATAACTTTATCACTATTTCTAAATATCTTTGATATTTGCTAATGACAAATCTGCCCCTAACAGATCCCAACACTGAGCATACAAAAGGAGAGCAGCAACCTGGATTAAGCTGCAAGATGGGTTTGAGAAGTTTCTATGGACATTTTGGCATTTTAAAACTGGTCATTACAGGGGGAAGTTTCTGAAAATCTTAATTATTCTTTCAAAGGTTAAGATTTAGAAAGATACATTCTTGAATTTTTTAAACCCTTATTGCAGTGTATTCCTAATTGTTTTACACATATCTAAAATGGGAATGGTAATCAAAGTGAATTTTTTTTTTTACTTAGTCTAGGTCTCACAAAAGCCACAAGAATTCAAGAGAAAACAAAATGCCTGTCAGGGCGAGCATACAGGAGGCAAAGGGGGAATCTGGCATGGCCTAAGCAAAGTCATAAAAATATTTTCCCTTTTATTTAATGTTGTCCATAATTCATTGCCAGGAAAAGCTAATCAATAGCACCTTAATGAAAACTTGAGCCATATTTTACTTTGCCGCAGAGAAGTCCCGGATCAGCATTTGTTGCCTTGTTATGTGCTGGTTTTCACCCTTGGGCTGTTTGACAGATGTGCATCACATTTGCAGATACCTTAAATATTTGCTCCCTTCAACCACATTTGCCTTATCAAAACACCACATAGTAGGAGGGAAATTTCTGATGATGACAGCAATGAAAACTCAAAAGAAGAAAAGTGATCCAAAACTGTTACATATATCAAGGTTTTGGCCTAGCTATGACCTCAGCTGAATATGGCAACATACATTGCCAAACTAAAGATATACATAAATATTGACTAACACATTTTGATGCTTTCCACAAGTGTCATAAATATACTGCATTCCCCTAAGACCTAGGTTCATATTAATGTCAAACTGAGACGAGCGTGCACATACACACACATTAAAAATGTAATCTCTTTAAATGTAATTGATTACCTTAACCAAGTACATTACACATCTCAGAAGTAATATGCAAGCTGTAAATTTATAATGGAGTGAATAAACCCAAAATGTACGTAAAACTAATCTAAACATTGTACTTATGGTGCAAAAAGGTCATGGTTAAACTGGTGATTATAAAATGTCTCTCAAAAACCTAGCGTTGCCATTAAGCCGTAGAACATTACACATTAGTGCAATAAATATGAATTCCCAATAACACAAAGATCCAGTAATTACTGTCAATTCGATAGGCCCAATCTGTAATTTGGCTACATAAATTGCAGGTATTGCAGGTGTTAGGTATATTATCATAACTGGAGAATTCATCTGATTATAATTCAAAATCATGAGTGTATATGTATATATATATGTACATACGTATATATATGTATGTGTGTATATATATATACACTGCTCAAAAAAATAAAGGGAACACTAAAATAACACATCCTAGATCTGAATGAATGAAATAATCTCATTAAATACTCCTTTCTTTACATAGTTTAATGTGCTGACAACAAAATCACACAAAAATTATCAATCAAATCAAATTTATCAACCCATGGAGGTCTGGATTTGGAGTCACACTCAAAATCAAAGTGGAAAACCACACTACAGGCCGATCCAACTTTGATGTAATGTCCTTAAAACAAGTCAAAATGAGGCTCAGTAGTGTGTGTGGCCTCCACGTGCCTTATGACCTCCCTACAACGCCTGGGCATGCTCCTGATGAGGTGGCGGAGGGTCTCCTGAGGAATCTCCTCCCAGACCTGGACTAAAGCATCTGCTAATCCTGGACAGTCTGTGGTGCAACGTGGCGTTGGTGGATGGACATGATGTCCCAAATGTGCTCAATTGGATTCAGTTCTGGGGAACGGGCCAGTCCATAGCATCAATGCCCTCCTCTTGCAGGAACTGCTGACACACTCCAGCCACATGAGGTCTAGCATTGTCTTGCATTAGCAGGAACCCAGGGCCAACCGCACCAGCATATGGTCGCACAAGGGGTCTGAGGATCTCATCACGGTACCTAATGGCAGTCAGGCTACCTCTGGCGAGCACATGGAGGGCTGTGCGGCCCCCCATTACTGACCCACCGCCAAACCGGTCATGCTGGAGGATGTTGCAGGCAGCAGAACGTTCTTCACGGCGTCTCCAGACTCACGTCTGTTACATGTGCTCAGTGTAAACCTGCTTTTGCCAATCTTGGTGTTCTCTGGCAAATGCCAAACGTCCTGCACGTTGTTGGGCTGTAAGCACAATATCCACCTGTGGACGTCGGGCCCTCATACCACCTTCATGGAGCCTGTTTCTGACCGTTTGAGCAGACACATGCATATTTGTGGCCTGCTGGAGGTCATTTTGCAGGGCTCTGGCAGTGCTCCTCCTGCTCCTCCATGCACAAAGGCGGAGGTAGCGGTCCTGCTGCTGGGTTGCTGCTCCTACAGCCTCCTCCACGTCTCCTGATGTACTGGCCTGTCTCCTGGTAGCACCTCCGTGCTCTGGACACTACGCCGACAGACACAGCAAACCTTCTTGCCACAGCTCGCATTGATGTGCCATCCTGGATGAGCTGCAAAGGAACCCTGCTCAGCAGCCTGCCAGTCAACGCTGCCAGATTGGGGCTGAGGCTAGCTGGTTAGCATGCTAACTTCAGTAAATATCTCTGCAACACAATAAATAGACGTAGAGCTCCTCGATTATGACAAAAATCATAATCGATTATTTTGGTCAATACTGAAATCATGACTATTTAACTGATTACTCATTGACTTAAGAACCATCCTGCATTTATTGAACTCCAATTATTATATATGAGTAGAGGAAAAGTCTGTTAGCCGCTAGGCAAATTTATCCAGTATTAAATGCTGTATGCTTAAGCCTAATGGTGGCTAGTGAAGTTTGGACTTTTAGGGAATGGCAAGAGCGCACCGTTGAAAAGAGTTGCGCTGAGTTTATAAGACAAGACAAAGCATCATTGCGAAACTGAAATGTGGCACAATAATCATTTTATCTCAATTTTCTTGCTTCCACGATTATTGGAAGCCAAAATCATATTTGAAAATCGCCCAGCGCTCCATAGATGTCTTTGACATAATGTCCGAACTGTTAATACTTCACAAGCTGTTAATAAAGTTCATTTTTAAATGTAGACTCTTTTTTTTCCCCCAAGCTATCAGACTTTTAAGTTCATATTCATCCCAAGCACTGTTCTATTGAATATAGTTTATTTCTGTTTAGCATTTTTATAATTGCTTCTATATTAATGTATATTTTCTGCTACATAGCAGAAGGGAGTTACAAACTCAATTTCACTTGATAACCTCTTATATTGTGACAAAATAAATCTACCAACCTACCTCCCTAAAATCTCTTAAATTCTTACATATTGCACCTTTAATTGCTTTGTTATACTTTGGACAGACCTTTTTAAGACAAACTATTGTACAAAAGTATTAGTAAAAGTTCAATGCACCCAATAAATTAAATAATGTATTTTTCTTGTTTGTCTAATGTACCCGTCATATATAATCAAATCAGAGTGGCATTTAAGCAAGAAGGTGTAAAACCGGTAACATAGAGCTGCTTGAAGACTGAACTGTGAGATGCAACGCTAATTGATTCCAGTGATCCTTGTCAACATACAGTATGCTCCGGTTCCAGTCAACTATCTGTGAAGTCAGACTACAATTACACAGAAAAGGGTCATTTTTCATGCTCGGAAAGGCATCCTAATGAACTGGTTGCCACCTATTTAACACAACTCTCCAGTCCACTAAAACAGACTTTCCATATTCACTGACAGCTCGCTTCACTTCGCCGGTGAACAGGGTGAGATGTTTTTGTTTTGCTATTTGTGTCAGGGGCAATCACTGCAAACCTTAGGGAAACTTGTTTAATGCCCGCATTCAGAGTAAACAGTTATTCATCAAAAAAATAATAATGTCTCAAAGGTCAGGCCATAAAAAACAATATCTGCCCTCTTTCCATTGCCTGGTGCATTAGTTACTGTTAATGCCATGCAGACGCTTTTGATGGCAGGGAGCTGGGTTTAAAAAAAAACTGCCTATAAATTACTGGCAAGAACTTGAGAGTATGGACTAGTTCAAAATAAAGAACTGATTCCACTATCAAAGCAGCAAACTATCATAGTGAAAAGTACACCAGACTCAAGTTTTTTTATCCATATGGAATTTCATGAGTGTACATAGAGCTGTCCAGTGGCTTCACATCGTTTGTCTGTACTTGCATTGTCAGCCGGAGGTAAGAGGGTGGAGACCTGCCAAGTGTAAGGCTCTGGGCCAATGCCATGACAGCTGACAATTCGGTCAGGCCATGTGTGCAGCGTTGCATTTCTAACAGCCAAGATCCCAGATCAAGTAAATCCTAATCAGAGAGTTAGTATGCCTCTAATGTGAAAATTCATATTTCTGCTGTGAGTGTTTCATGTTCAAAAGGGAGCACATGTCATTTGGCATGCCTTCATAAAACACTAGGGCTTCCATCAGTCACTGATTATTGCAATGAGAAATTAAAATCCCTAAACACAAAGGAACCAGCTCCACATTGCTTTGGCTGTCAGAATTAACTAGCGAAAGTGACCTCAGCTTATACATGCTGAAGGAGGAGGAATCAAATTTGATTAGTTTAAATAGAAATATTCCATCAGACATGCATTCATTGTTGATTAATAAAGATACAGATGAGCAATTTCCAACCCCAACCCTGTCCTTACATTCTCCATATATATGTCTGCTAAATTATAGTCAACATTTTTGAATACCTGACGTAACTGACATTGATAACCACACCACACTGCTCTGGTAAACTACAGCCAAGATGCAGAGGGGCTGTCTAGTTTGTCAGTGAAGACTGGCTGAGGGAGGCGGTGCTGAACTGTTAGTCTTCTCCCCCTTATGGCACGCTGTGTTTACGCCGATCCCTCAGGCCATTTGTTTGCAGCACTTCCTTGCCCCACAGCACCATGCATAATGCAAGAATGAAAATGTTAACAGTGGCAAATAAAATCGGCAAGGTGCCCCCACAAATCAGGGCAGTTTAGGAGCACATTTAATCATCCATGCATTGGGGACAACGCATAGCAATTAATTGTGGCATTTCAAAGAAGATCAGGACCCCATTTTTCCAGGGCTCGTCAAGCTTCTTGTTCAGCTGCCCCATCATATGCAGACCGACGGCAGCAGTTTCTGTGTATCTCTTTGAAACATCTCCGCATTTTGGCCCGATTATGTTGATTATCTCTTTTCTCTGAAGTAGATGAGAAGAGAACTCTTGTAGAGAGTTGCACAGAATTGCATCAACAAAGCCCACCCAGCAAAAGAAATAACAAAAAACAGGCATTGTTTGAAGAGGGTCTCCCATGTATACACACAAGAAGTAATCCAGTCTAGTTCTTGCATTTCTCCAGTATGCTCCAAGACAAACAAGCTACAGCACCATATGGTGGTGTCAGGAAAATAAATAATTTAGAGAAAGTCATGTGCGATGCGCAGATGAGCAACCGCAGAAATACCAACACATCCATCCTCATGCTTAACCCTTCTAATAAGAACCCTCAGCAGGAGGGCCACAAAGAGACAACCACAATATTGGGTCTTAACTGGATTGAAAACTACTTTGGAATTTCAAAGACCAGGACTGGCAACTGTCTCTGGACGTAAGGACAGCATTTCATGCAGATACAATCTGCAGTGCCTTTCAGCACTTCCTGAACACGAGACAGCCTAATCTAATGAACTAGGGGGGCAGAATCTACTCAGGCTTTTAGCCCAGTGCCAGCGTGCCTCCTCTCACATCTGACTGCAGTCAAAAATCCACTTGTTATTTTTATTTCCACTGTATTTTCCCTGAGGTCTACTCTGCGTGGCTTGAGTCATCATTGTTCAAGTCTTTAGAGTTAGAAAAAACACACATCCACACACACAAGCTGGTGGCAAGGTTATAGCCAGTCAGACAAGGGGCACTCGCATTCTGCCCACCCCAGGGAAAACTCCAGAGAGGGAGAACAGAGATGTGCCATGTTGCTGACATGGCAGCCGTCACATCATACTAACCGTAAAGAGTGATGTGCAGAGACAGCACTGAGATTTGTAGAATACTTTAGTGGCTTCTAGCCAAAACAGTGAGGGGTTTGTGGATTACATGACCCATGATTGCCTCGTTTATACCCAAATACCTAAAGGAGCATTAAGAAGGAAAGACAGCAAGGTGCAATATAATAATGAGCTATAAACAAACAAAACACTGAAAGATCAAGATGTCTGGAGCAGATTGCATAGCTAAAATATTGCACCGTAAATAAAGCACAACATTAAGTAGGTCATAGTATGTCCATCTTCTAAAATACATTTCATATCCTTTGATTGGAGACAAGGCCCAGCAGTGCAGAGTTTTTTTTATCCTGGTGCTTGCTGTGCATCTCTGGCACACTGAGGACAAGAAGCAGCTTAGAACACGTGTAAGGTAACAGGTGCCAGTCAGGTCTGCAGAGAATGTGTTAACTACGCAGATGAGTGATAAAATAAAGCAGATAATGAGCAAACATCCATGCTCTGAAGGCATTACTGGAGCAGATGCATATTATAAAAATATGCACCAGGCCTTCATCTCAGGGACTGTGAAACTACACAATAAAACCACTGAGGTAACTGCACAGTCAGCACTTTTGAATATGACAATGTTTTCATTAAATGTTTTTGTGTCCTGTAATTTTGTTTCAAGTCATTATCATCTGTTTTTCTTTCTTTCTTTTTTCTCTCTTTGTGGGTGCTGGCCGACATCATTTAAGAGTCAATAAAGAACATAAAGTTGAACTTAATCGTAATTGAAGTGCAATAAATTAAGAAACCACTTTAAGTCACAAAATGATAGGCTGGTCAGGGAAAAAAGTTGACTTCTGAATTTAAAGCCTGGAATTGCCAATGTAAAACATAAATCCTCTGGAAAACAGTCATGTTACTCTGAATGACCCTGATTTGATGCTCAATTCCCAGCACTAACCAATGGAAAGGTGCACCACAAACCACTAGACTGTGTCACATCTCTAACTATTTTTAGACAGTTCAGCTTCTCTTTGTAATTAAAAAGAGTTGAGTCTTCACATTCAAACTGTAGCATTGCCAACGAAAAATATTGATTATTAAACATGTAGAAGTAACACAACAGACAGAATTTTATTCTGGTTCACATCAAACCATCTGCTGATCTGTGTCACTTGAGAGAGGCATTACAATGTGAAAGGCAGTGACAGATAACATTTCTTTCTACAGAAATCTGAAGAAATTTTCCTCCTTAAAGATTTTACCTTGAACCTGGGAAACCAGGTCACTTAAATGTGGCAGAAAATAAAACAATAAATCAACTGGATTTATTGATAAACACACTGTGTTACAGCCAGTGATATCACAAAATGTAAAACTGTAAATGGGTACGAGAAGCTTTAAAACTTTAAAATGCTGTTGCAATATATCGCTCTGTCTTTCAAGAACCACAGGTACAACAATATCTGCTGCTAACATTTTCATGACTTGTGAAATTGCAGGCTTTTAACATGATGCGTATCTCTTTAATGTGCACATCAGGACAAAGCAAGCCAACAGAATAAGCAAAACAAAAAAAGATGGCCTGAGTTGCTTCACATCCATG